TAGAGTCTCAACATCTTTTTTACATTGTGGTGACCAAAACTGGATGCAGTATTCCAAGTGTGGCCTTACCAAGGCATTGTAAAGTGGTATTAATACTTCACGTGATCTTGATTCTATCCCTCTGTTAATGCAGCCTAGCACTGTGTTGGCTTTTTTGGCAGCTGCAGCACACTGCTGGCTCATATTTAAATGATTGTCCTCTAGGACTCCGAGATCCCTCTCACAGTTACTACTATTGAGCAAGATACCCCCCTATACTATACCTGTACATTTGGTTTTTCTTGCCTAAATGTAGAACCTTACTTTTTTCACCATTGATTGCCCGATTAGCACCAAATCAACATTCATCTTAATCAGAGTGGGAGAAGTTACTCTGGCACATGAGGCAACAGATCACAAACAGTAGAAATATAATAGTATATTAAATAACAAACAGTTGGCTTCCCTTGGTGATACAGGTAGACCTTGACTTATGAGCAAATTTTCAGCTACTAAGGGAGATAGTTATTAATGAGTTTTTCCCCATTTTACGAGCTTTCTTGCCACAGTTAAGTTAATCACTGCATTTGTTAAGTTAGCAACAAGTTAAGTGAATCTGGCTTCCCCATTGACTTTGCTTGTCAGAAGGTCACAAAAGGTGATCACATGACCCCGGACACTGCAGCGGTCATAAATCTGAGTCAGTTGCCAAGCATCTGAATTTCGATCACGTGACCATGGGGATGTTGCAACAGCCGTAAGTGTGGAAAAAAGGTCATTAGTCACTTTTTCAGGGCTGTTGTAACCTCAAATGATCATTATTAAGTGAACTGTTGTAAGGCAAGGACTACCTGTAGTCAAAATCTGCCTGAAGTAGCTGCCCCATTTTACTTCAAATAGGGAATATTAAATACTTTTGGTTGGCTAGAAGTGAGCTACTCTGAGGTAAATGGGGCTTAATTCCAGGAAAGTGACTGCACTGTTAATATTCAGTCTGAGTTGAGCTTTTGGTTGAAGGAGAGGTGCCTAGGAGGTTAAGGCCCTGTGGATTTTAACTCTCCTTCCCTCTTTAAAAAGAATTTACTTGACTAGTTGTTCATGAAAGCCTTACTTCCTTTCCCCATGTTTCTGTTACTTCTCCTCTTCATTGAAAGTACATATGTTGGGTTCTATGATAAAACACGTAATCCAAATCAGGTTGTAAATTTAAGAAAATATTTTTTTTTCAAAATACAAGAGAAGTCAGCCAGGGCAGGAGAGAAATAACCGGCAGGACAAAAGGGAAAGTTAGGAGAGGCTACATTAAATCGTACAGAAAATTGGCTTCTCTTGCCTTTGGGTTCTGTAGGAGCTGATGGCTGGGAGCAAGAGAGGAAGTAGGGAGAGCCAGCTCTCATGGACAGAAATGGAGGTGCTAATCCTCTTTTTTTCCCCCCTTTGCAGATGCCTGAGCCTGGAAGCAGCCGTTGACAGGATGTTTGCTATGCACCCTCCCAATGCTTCTCAAGCACCTGCCATTCATCTGGTGAACAGTTCCTCTTCAGATCATACAGAGCTGGTGAAGACTCCATCGAGTGCTTCTTCTCCTGCTGCCCCCATCTTCTCCATGACCTTGGGGGCAGTCTCTAATATCGTGGCCTTGATCATCCTAGTGCAGTCCTACATCCGCTTACGGCGTCGTTCCAAGGCCACGTTCCTGCTATTTGCCAGCAGCTTGGTTATCACAGACCTAGCAGGCCATATCATTCCAGGCTCCTTTGTGTTGCAACTGTATGCCACACGGCGCGGTTGGGCAGCCATGGATCCCACCAGAGCTCTCTGCCAGTTCTTTGGTGCTTCCATGGTATTCTTTGGACTATGCCCTCTCTTTCTGGGCTTCATGATGGCAGTGGAGCGCTGCATTGGCATCACTCGCCCTCTGCTTCATGCCACAGTGGTCACGCCAGGCCGAACGAAGCTTTCCTTGGTAGGACTGTGGGCCACTGCTCTTGCCATTGCCCTGATGCCTCTCTGCAGTTTTGGAAAATATGTTGTCCAGGCCCAAAACACTTGGTGTTTTATCAAGGTGCGAGAGGCAGAAGAATGGTCCGAGATAGCTTTTGCCCTGCTCTTCTCCCTTTTGGGTTTGGCCTCCCTGGTGGCCTCTCTCATCTGCAACACGTTCAGCGGGTTCATCCTGGTGCGAGCTCGTCTCCGTGGTCAGCGCAAATGCGGTCGGCGGAAAGCCAAAGCTCATGACATTGAAATGGTCGTACAGCTTGTGGGCATCATGGTGGTCTCCTGTATCTGTTGGAGCCCGTTATTGGTGAGTACCAAAAAACAGAAGAGAAAAGGGGCAATGGAAACATGTAGGGTGCTTAGCCTGTATTTTGAGGCACAAAATAAGGGGGAAGTTGGCATGTATCAAACAAACCCTTCCCTAGTTCACATAAAGCTGGAGTGAGAAGGGAGATATATTCAGACTTGGAAAACGTTATAACTCTACAATAAATGTAGTACTGATCTACATGATTTTGCTTCCTGGTCTAGTCTATTTTAAAGGGCTGTGATTGTTCTATTACCATGGTGGTTAAAAATTACATTAAAATATACGGAGAGCTTCAGACTGGGTAAACATAGCATAAGGTGCCCTTGTGTGTTCTTGGAATTTATGGTGATATGAAACACAGCACCTTGATTATACAAGAAACTATTTGATTAGAGGGGAGAGAATGTTAACTGGAAAACTTCTTGAGGTTAAACGTTTGGATCAAATTGACATTATGCTTGGGTATAATAGCCCAAAGAATGACCCAAGCAATCATATTCTGAATCAGTCAATTGACTCTGGGAAGCCCTTATCAGCGCACAAATAAAGGGCTGTGTTGTGAATGGTATATTTATTATGTGGGCTGAGCTAATATGTACACAGAGTTAATACCTGTTTCTAAGTTCTTAGGGTCACTGGGGAGGAGCGGACCATAGAAACCTACTGTCTGATATCTTGTTCTCTCATTTGCTGATGTCATATTGCTGCTTTTTTCCTCTGTGCTGTTCCCAGGTCATTGTCATCTTATCAGTGAGCAACTCTCATAAAGCTTTGAATTATGATCAGCTGCTATTCCTTGGTGTGCGGATGGCCTCCTGGAACCAGATCCTGGACCCGTGGGTATATATATTGCTGCGACGTGCAGTGCTGCGCAAGCTTCTGGCGCTATTTCTAAGGCGCCCTGACCTCAAAACAACACACTTTGACCGCTGGGAGGCCAGCTCCTTCCAGAGCTCCGAGCGCAGTGTTGCTGCTGGTCGCATCTAGTATTGGGTGGAGAAAACAAGAGTTGATCTACTTGAAAGCACTTTGAACCTTCCTGGAATTCAGAATCCAGCAAACTGGGCGGCTGCTGGTGGTATAGGCAATATCACAGATAAATTGGCAGTTTCAAATCTTGGCAGCAGATACGAAGTTCAGTATTTTGAAGCAGCCTCCTGCCTGTTTCTGACTTTCTTATGAGAGGGGGAGAGAGAGAGAGAGATACATGATCTTCTTGGGTGAAGGAGAGTAAATATATCATAATGCAAATGAAAAGTCATGATGCCCATGAATTCATTTTGATATGGTGGCTTCTATTGGACATCTGTGGAGGAGACCTTTGCTCAGAGGTAAAGAATACATTATACATTCCTAATACTTTCAGTGAAGCAGAACTGAGAAAGAACTCTCTCTGCTCCCAAATAGTCATCAGTATCAAAAGGAGACAGTTCTTGACCAGGTAAATGAAAGCTGGCCAGTATGTTTTGATAGGAAAATGACGATTTAGTGCATTTTGAAAGCCATATGTCCTTCCTGATACGGACTGCACTGTGCACAATGAACAGCCTGGTAATTATTCAGGCTATATTCCAAAGCTGAAGAATGTTACCTTTCTTGTATAGCGCAAGAGCAAGAGTGTGAATCTTGCTCTTGTGAATCATCAGGCGAGAAGACATCCCAGGTAGCCTCCTTCCTTGGACATTCAGTTCAGGTAGACAATCATCCTGCTGCACTTTCCGAGCCAGAGAGTAGCCATTCAAGTCCAACCCTGTCAGGGCAGCTATTTTAACGTGCTGCCAGAAATGATCTGGCTACTTGGAGCCTATGATGCAGATTTTCCACAATGTTGAGGCTGCTGCATTACTGCAGTGTGTAAAGGAATTTGTGTCTAAAATTTGCTGTGCTTGCACACAAGGAATCTGATGCGACATATCGTTTCGTCTCACCATCGCATATAGATTGCACAGCAATTGCGGTGGAGAAAACAAAGGCACGTGCTTATGGTTCAGGGCGGCCTTTAATTTAAACATGAATGTAGAAATTCTAGAGAACCCTTTCATGGGCATCGTGGAGAGATTTAAAAAAAGCTGAAAAACGTGATGTCACGTGGCCTGCCAAACTCAGAAAGCACCTTTCAGAAGAGTAAGATTCACAGCACTGTTTTCTCACAGAAGACATCTGCAACAGTCTGTCCTAGAATGGATTTCAACAAATTGTTGCTGATGATTCTACAAAATAATATCCTTTGGGAACTGGTGAGACTGACCCACAGATTGCAAGCGGATGCCTCTGTCTGCTGCGCTACTCTAAGCTCTGGGAAGCTGTGAAGAACAGAGCAAAGGACAATGGGAAAGTCCTGAAATGATTGATCGGTAGGGGCTGGCTGTGGCATAACTGTACCCTGTGGGAATTCTTAATCAGCACCAGGCACTCTACAATAAAGCACTTCACTGGGGTATTCTGGCCCTTCATGCTTTATTTTCTTCAGGTCCCTGACATGCTTCCCACATGCTTGTTGTCAGCAGCCTGTGCCAGCCCAACTAATCTAGTCAGCCTCAGGGTCCCATTTATTGTTCCATGTGTTTTGTTTTCATTCAGTGACTGCTTATTGTCATCTGGCAGCTGGAGCATGTAAAATCGAGCTTGCAGAATCCTGGTTGAAAGCTGGCAAACAAGTGGGATCAAACAGCAGAAGGAAAATTATCACTGTTGTGGGAATTAGTTGGGGAAAAAGAGATGAAGTTGGAGATCTGTTGCTCCAGGTTCAAATATTCTGCCCCAGTCTACACACCTGGTATTGCCCCGCCAACCCTATCCTTCAATATGTTTGTAAAAACACACAGCTGTTTTGCTATGTTCCTGTACTATCTAGTGGGCTGCACCCACGTGACCCAGCTGCAGCTGAAATGGGTCTCTGCTGTTCATTGGCCTTTTAATAAATTATTTATTTGTGTGCAACATTCTAAAGACCATGTTTGGTGGTGCCTTGGCTGAAATTCCATTGCTACACACAACACTTTGATTACTCCATGCACTATTTTTGCTTTTCTGTTGTACTGCCTACTGATTGAATTTTTAAAAAATTCGTTGAAACTATAGGTCAGTGGTGGCGAACCTATGGCACGCGTGCCAGAGGCGGCATTCAGAGCCCTCTCTGTGGGCATGCACAACGTTGCCCCAGCAGAGTTCGCCAGAGTAGCGAGCATGTGGCGTTTGGAAGCGACAGGGCAGAAAGTGAGCGAGGATGCAGCATTGGCCCCCCGGGGATGCCCTGGAGATGGCGAGGGACTGGCCCCGGCCACACTCACCGTCTGCCGTGACCACTGCAGCCACACCCAGCCAGTGGGCCATGCCCCCTGCTCCCTCTGAGGGCACCATAATGCTGATGCAACCCTGGCACTTTGCGATAAATAAGTGGGTTTTGGGTTGCAGTTTGGGCACTCAGTCTCTAAAAGGTTCGCCATCACTGCTATAGGTTTACTGTTTAACTATTGACAACTGGTGGCAGCAAAAATTAGTGATTCTGTATTACTTGACTGCCTTAGTGGTTGTCTGAGTCTCTGTAGCTGCTAGATATGTTCTAGAGCAGTGGTGGCAAACCTATGGCACGCGTGCCAGAGGCGGCACTCAGAGCCCTCTCTGTGGGCACCCGTGCCATTGCCCCAGCTCCGCCTCCCCCTGCGGCCCCCTCCTCGCCAGCAGCCCCCCTGGAAGAGAGTCACCCCCAAGCGTGGCCCGCACAGAGCAGCATAGCAAATGACATGGCAGCCGGGCAACGGGGACAAGACTCCGCCCTCACGCCCCGTCACGTGCAGTTGATGTTGTGGGGCGCGGGCGGAGGGAGTGGCCACCATGGCGCTGCTGGGCCACCTGAGCAATCTGTGGCAGGTCATGGAGGCAGTGAGCGGCCTTGCAGGTGGGCGGGGTGGAGACAGAGCAGGGGTGGGGTGGGGGCAGAGCAGGGGGGGCTGGGGGGGAGGTTTTGGGGCACTCGGTCTCTAAAAGGTTCGCCATTACTGTTCTAGAGGTTGAGAAAGAGGAATTGCTGTGAGAATCAGTATGGTAGCTGTAAACTATTTTAAAAGCTACACAAGGAGCTGAGGCAGTTGATTCCCTGCCAGGCAGGCTACAGAAAGTATAAGATACACAGTGTCGCTATACAATGCCCATAGGCAGTGTCTGGAGGCAAGAGTAGAGTAAGAATTCCAGAGTAGAGTAAAAATTCCCAGTTGCAGGCAGAGAGCGAGATACAGGCAACTATGTGCTGATATCCTTTAGAAACGGCCATCTTTATACCCAAGGAAGGATGTTGTATAGATATGCCCACATTTCATTCCCCTGAGCAGGTAATTGCTCTCTGCAGCTTTCATAAAATTCCTCCTAGTGCAAGACGCATGCACTTTCAGTTTATTAGACATTCAGAAGTCTTTATCACCTAATAACACAGACCAGAGTTTGTTGAAATTCACCTTATTTACTAGTCCAAAGGCTTTGCTGTGGGGCTAAGAGGGGCCATAGGAACAACTTGGCTTGTAAGCAAGATTGGAAAACCATTCATCCTCCATTCCCTTTTGTTCTAAACTGGAAGCAATGCAAGAGCAGGTACTGGTGCGAAACATTCTGATGCATTTGGGGGCAGAGGCCTAGGTAAATGGGAAGCTTTAATCCCGCATCTGAGCTTCAACGGTCAGCTTCCTGATTGTTACGGAAAGCAAAATGTTAGAATAAATGGACCTTTGGTCTGATGGAGAATGATTATATTCCTGCCACAGCTGCTTAAGCTTTGGCTCCCCCTTCTGACTACCACAGGTACTGCTTTAATCTTCGGAAAAACAAGAGGAATGGAAAAACCAAGGGGGTCCTGGCCACAGACAAGCCAGACAAAAAAGGAAAGTGGCACCCCAACATTACTCATCAGAATGAAAGATGAGGGGTTTTTTTTTGTGCCGAGCAGTGCAGATTTGCAACCAAGGAAGAGGGGCAGGGTTTAGGGCCTCAAGCACCAGTCCTTAACATTAAAGAGCACAATAATATGAGCAGGACTAAGACCATCCGCTCCACCATAAGGGGGCCATCAGTTATAGAGGTCGTCATCCCCCTCCTCCTGGAACAGGCTTCCTTGCCCACTGTTGCTGCCACTGCTGCCCCCTCCACCACTGCTCTGCTTGCCCGATGGAAACCTGTGGGGGGAGAAAGGGGAAAGCTAGTTCAGTTCAGGAGAAACCACGAGTTATTCACTCTACTTGAATGAATGGCCGTCTTAATTGGAACTAGCTACATATTATCACAGTGTCCAAGTGCAACTAGTTGTTCAGGAATGTGGCCCTGGATTCACAAAAGGACTGCAGTCAACCCTCCGATGCGGGCTGCATTGCACTTTTTAAAAAGCACAACATCCCATAGATCAGGCGTAGGCAACCTTGGCTCTTTTATGACTCGTGGACTTTAACTCCCAGAATTCCTGAGCCACCATGGCTCAGCTTGGAAACCTCTCCCTTTCTCCTCAGCATGGCTGGCTCAGGAATTATGGGAGTTGAAGTCCACGAGTCATAAAAGAGCCAAGGTTGCCTACCCCTGCCATAGATGGATACGGTTCTTAATACGAAAGTAAAAAGACTACGTAGTCCAGTATTGCACAAGCATACCAAAGTATTTATTAAATTTATATCCCTCTTAAAAATAATGTGTTTTTTTTTATTCTTCTTTAAGTAAATTTATATCCCATCTTTCATTCAGGGAAATTGGGTGGGAATAGGAGATTGAAATAGCTGGCATCCTGACTTCACTTTTACACACTGCTGCATTTTGTTGCAGACACTGCTTGTTCTGTCTATAAACTATTTTGGGTCAGGGATGCAACTCCCCCTGTTCCCTACCCCCCTACCCCCCCACCCCCGATGCTGTGGTGCCTTTATTTTATTTGCTTGGGGATAGAAGAAGCACAAACTTCTTCTAACATTACCTGAAGTTGCCAAAGCCGCGGCTCTGCTGTAACGTCTGGGCAAACATCTCGTATTTGCGTATATCATTATCGCTGACTGAACGGCGTGCAAAGCGCATTGCTTCTTCAAAGTGATCCCGCCGGATCTCCGGCACCGGGTCATAATCATCATCCTGTTACAAGATACAGAAGAAAAGGCTGTCAGGCACACTGCAGCCCCAAGATGGAGGACACACTCTTGAGAACATTGCTGGAGAGATAAGGGAAGGAATCGGGTCTGGCTTTCGATGGAAAAGGGAAAATATTGTGTCCGTACCATGGCAGCGCACTTCTGATGCTGGCGTTCCCGTTCTGCCTTGATCTCCATCTCGATGGCCTCACGGATGGCAAGCTTGCAGGCACGCTGACAGATTTCGGTGAGGTCAGCACCAGAGAAGCCATGTGTGATCTTAGCCAGATAATTCAAGTCTACATCCTGTTGGGAAAAGACATACAAGCTAAAGTATTACCTGCCCAAGTTAGCAAAGTAAGACAAAAATGAGAGGGGAATGCTGAGGGGCAGCAAAAATGTGTTTAAGGAGTTGACTATATGCCAATTAATTCAGCCTTCCATGGTGAAATCAGCATAGAAGGCAGTGGGAGCCACGGCTCCATTTTCCGTATTGGAGCAATTTGGTCCTGTCCATGGAATGAGCAGCGATAGCAATAGCACTTAGATTTATATACCGCTTCACAGTGCTTCACAGCCCTCTCTAAGCGGTTTACATAGTCAGCATATTTCCCCCAACAATCTGGCTCCTCATTTTACCACCCTAGGAAAGGTGGAAGGCTGAGACAACCTTGAGCCGGTCAGGATCAAACTCCTGGCAGTGAGCAGTTGAGTTAGCCTGCAATATTGCATTCCAACCACTGCGCCACCACGGCTCTTCTGCCGTCTTGTTCCTCACTTTGACACTAAAGAACTTCAGGGAAGACTGAGCCGCACACCCCCTTTAAAGATTGTCACAATCAGTCCTCCTCTACCGGACGGGTGACACCTGACTCTTGACATCTATTGCTGATTTAGTTTTACATGCCCATTTTTTTTGCCTGCTTTGACTGACCTTGGCAATTGGTGATTTTCGCAAGTTGGCTTGGAGGATAGCTATGCGAGACTTTTCATCGGGTAATGGGATGTAGATGAGCTGGTCCAGACGTCCTGGACGAAGGATGGCTGGGTCAATGATGTCTGGCCTGAAAAGAGTTGGCAAAGAGACAACAGCAAGTTTCATGGGTTACTTTTCCACTAGGAATGGCTCCAGCATCTCAACTCAGATGCTTTTTTGACAGGAATGCAGCCCTATAGCAGAAGCGGGCAAGAATAGGGGTCAAGGGGACAGAAGACTACAAAGTTGGTGAGTCTATATTCCATGGGGGAAGGAGGGGGAAGAGGTGGTACAGCCTTTGCAGGAAGTTTTGTTTTCAACTATAATAAGTTGATGATACTGATCCTTTTTTTTTTTTTATCTTTGGATTTATATCCCGCCCTTCTCCTCGCGGACTCAGGGCGGCTGACAATCAATTAAAATACATAAATAACAATTACAAATTTAAAATTAATTAAAAGAAATATTTGAACATTGTCCAATTAAAATATAATTAAAACCCCTCTAAAAATTACCCTAGGCCAGTCCTGCAAGCTGAAATAACCAAGTCTTAAGGGCGCG